GTTAACTTGTTTTTGCATTAATTGTGTAAATTAACTGTGATTAACTGACAGCCCTAATGTGTGTGTGTGTGTGTGTATAGGAAATTGTATGCAGATAATTATTGCATTATGTAGGGATCTCTCTTAGATCTGGCTATCAGTGTGCATAACTCAAAAATTAGGGCATCACCTTGTTGAGGACTGAGCAAATCTCTTAATTTTGCACTGAGTGTTGTTATGTTTTGCATCCATGTGACTTGTCAGAAGTTACATTTGTAAGAATCCTGTTCTTCAAGTAATGTAGAGACCAGCAGTGCTGTATATTTGAATGTTGTGTCTAACTTCAAGAGCAGAGCAGCCTGTAATTGAAGGGTATGTTGTGCATTCCTGCGGCTGCAGAAGGAAAAACTAGAAATTTGAGTTTTTTAGAAAGAAGTTGGCTAAAATATAATTATGGATTAAGTACCTATACAAGCTTCTTTTTGAAAGAGGAAAATACCTTAATGGGGTAAAAGGATGGTACTACATTTATTGTATAGTTTTATATAGTAAGGAAATTACCCATCATGCTTCGTTACTAAGACTGTTGCTGAAAAATACCATGCATTGAACTATCATGTTCATTCTTGGACAGAAAACATATCTTTAAGATAATTTTCGTGTTCTGTAGGACAATAAGGAAGTTGGTACCTATCAATTAGTCAAACTGCTACATCAGGCAACTGCTACATGTCCTTACAGAACAGATGAAGAGAGAAGATCCATGCCATAAAGAGCATCAACTTATTTCCTGTTTCTTCACATCATAAAATTAAAACCAGAACAAAAAATCCCTCCTAAAAGGAGGATGGGGTAAAAGCTACAAGAGTATAGTTACATAGGCAAGTGATCATTCTCATGTGAGAAATGTGTACAAGAATCTGGTCCAACTAGTTCACTTTTAAGAAACTACCCCAGGGTACTCCTAGAGGTACTGGCAGAACTCTTTACCACCATTATCAGAAAGTAGCCACCTTTTAAGATAATTTTTGGCAGTGCTTAGATTGTTTGCTTAAAGTGATGCTTGTATTGTTTCTGTTTGTTCTTTGTTGTATTTGGACTAGATATCAGCTTAGAATACTAGGTAAAATATCTGTCTTTATTTTTATCTAAAATAAAGACATTTAAAGAGGGTTGATGGTTCAGGCATTGGGCTCTGGTACTCAGGTACTTGGAGGACCGGACAAGGAGCGATGGTCTCAAATTGCAACGGGATATTTAGGTTGGATATTAAGAAAAAACTTTCTCATAAGGGTAGTTAAGCATTAGAACAGGCCACCCAGAGTGGTTGTGGAATTTCCATCTTTGGAAGTTAAGAGCAAGTTAGACTGATCTTTGTCTACGATAGTTTGTCCAGGAACATGCTTGTCTTAGACGACTTGATGAGGTCCCTTCCAGTCCTATTTTTTTATGATTCTACCATAGGCTTCCTGTCTGACCTTGGGGAAAATAACTTAATCTTTGTACCTCATTTCAATCTATGAAATGGAAATAATAACCTGAATCATTGAATATGGGGATAAATTCATTAATGTATGTAAAGTAGTCAGCTGCTAAAGAGATGAGAACTTTGGACAAATTTCTAAATTAGTTCTGGTCAAAATTTGGAATATTTATTCTGGAGGTACTTCTGGCGTTTTTGAAGTTATCCTCAGGTTTCAAAAGGTGACTTTCATTCTGACACTTCTCATGAAACTTTGGGCTTGTATACACATGTAGGGAGGCTGCTCTGACATGCTGTAAATCCAGTGCGTCAGAGGGGGTGATTAATCGAGTCTGCTGGAGTGTAGAAATTACCATGCTCCAGCAGCCTCCAGCATCACATGTATCAGCATCCCTGTGCTGAAAAATGGCAGCAAGGCGTTTTGAGCTAAAGTACGTTGAATGAGCTTTAGTTCAGAGTGCCTCGCTGCCATTTTTTCAGCGTGGGGATGCTGATAGACAGGATGCTCAGGCAATTTAATTAGCGAGCTGCACTAATTAAAAGTTCTCTTCCCCCTCCTGCTGCCTCCCGGAGCATGTCTATAAATGCCCTGTAATCCTGAAAGATCATTTTTGGAAAAAAATGAAATAACTTTGTTGAAGAGCTTCATTTCAACTTTACAATGTTGCTAAACAAAATGCTTTGATATCTTTACATTGTTAAAAATTTGATGAAACTGATGAATTCCTTTGTCAAAAAACTCAGATGCAACAATTCAAAGCTTAATATTTAAAAAAAAAAAGTGTTTTTAAAGGTCTGGTAAAAAGTAAGTACTGCTTTGTTAGGTTGGCAGTAGAGTAGATTTCTGTGTAGGTTTGTGATACTGTACTGCTCATTGTTTAATTCACTACTGAGAGGTATTCCAATGCTACAGGGTGTCTAACATCTGCCAGTGAACAGTACATAGTAGAAAGCAATTTGGTCATGTGACTGTTTCAGATGAATGAGATTATGCTGACAAAGCGGGTGTGCTTTTCTAGGTCACTAACCTGAGGTCAGGCTGTAATAAATGACAGCTGCTAAAGAACCTGCATAGGTTTTCATACATGTTCTCTTTTCTCTTTATTAGTTCTGTCTCACTGTTACAAACTATCCTTTGTACACTTTGCTTGTACCTGTGAACAGAACTGCTCTACATGCTTCTTGAGCTTCTGTTAGAGCAGTAATGATTCCTGTAGCAGCATGGAACAGAAAGTACACGTGACCAGCAGCTTAATGGTGAGACTACCTACAAAAAAAGTATGGCGAAATACAAAGTCCAAGTGGTGAAAAACAGAATTTTCCCAAAACATTCATTTTTAGAAATCTTAGGTGTTGCTTGTAAGTATGGGTCAGACTTATAAATTTATAGTATCATGAGAAGAATATTTCATGAAAAGTATATATATCATGAGAAGTAAATTTGAAGTATCATGAAATTTATGGTGTCCCTGTAATTTAATAGAGCTTTCCTGTCTCTGACTGCAGTGAATCTTAATGTGCTTCAGGGTCACAGTTCCTTCATATAGGAGATGACAGTCCTGCCTTTACATTCTTTGAAGTGTGTCTTTGAAACCAAGACTGTTTTGATTCAGATGTTAAGAGCAAGTTCTTCAGTTTGCAGCAGACTTGGCAAATTCTGAAAATGTGGTAGTTTCCTTTTCTTTAAGATACAGGTATTTATACAAGGTTTCTACCTAACCAGCAACCTGACTGACCAAATCCACTTATGGGCTTTCCATGGTGACCTCTAGTAATCTCTCTTAGGATCAGATTTCTTTAACCTTGCCAACCTTTGTCTCATTGAAGAAAGAGAATTTAAAATCCCAAGGAGAAAATGTGCAAGCTGTCATTGAGCTAATTGTGTAGTTTTCTTGTTTGCTACATGTCTTTTTTTCTCCTTCTAGTGTTTGACTACAGCTATAGAGATTACATCCTGTCCTGGTATGGGCAACTCAGCAAAGATGAAGGGCAGCTGTACCACTTGCTCTCTGAAGATTTCTGGGAAATTGCCAAACAGCTGCGACAGAGGCTGAGTCACATTGATGTAGTTAAAGTTGTCTGCAGTGATGTAGTGAAAGCTTTACTTGCGCACTTCTGTGACCTTAAAGCAGCCAATGCCAGGTAAAATAACCTTCCCAAATGTCTGTTTGAATAGAGCTTTCTGCTTGTCTCTTTCCCTTTGGATGGACTGTACTGATGCAGTAAAGAGCATATGCTCCTGAGAGCTACACAGTGAAGAGAGAAGTGGTGCACATACAGACCTTACTAGTATTTGTGAAATTCCTAGTGAACTCTTGGGTATGTGGATGGGGGATAAGTACTCTTTTTTCCAAAGCTTGATTTCATGACTGTTTTATACCCATTTTTTATTTGTGTGCATGCATGGGAGCAATCTCTATAGGTTCCATGAGGTGGCAAGAGTAGAGGGGGCAGTATAGTAGGATTCAGGAAATGGGAATATGCAGCCAGGTTGTTTCTTTTCCAGAAAAGTTAAAGTGTAAATACCATTATGTTCTTTTGTCTGGCATGAGGAACTCAAGTCCCGTGGCTCCTCTGTCAAAAATCTCTCTTGCTGTGATATGATGTTCTCCTGGCAAAGTAATAGAACAGTTCCTGCTCCCCCCCCCCGCCCCCTTTTTGCATTATGTGGCTAAATTTTAGGAGTCTCTTCTTTTATAGAGCTCTCTATATGGTGTCTGGGGACTAGAGAGGCCTGATTCTGTTCTGTAATACCATGATTATACTCAAACTGGTAATGGGAAATGGTCACTTGGTTACATTCTTTAGCTTGTTATATGGCTCTGGAGTTTTTTAGCTTAGGTGCACAGTTCAGGTTTTTACTTGAAGGTTAAGTACATGTTTTTTTGTCCACTTTAGAAAATCGGTTTCTAAAAAACTGTAATTTTAAATTTGTCAATTTCTTTGTCATCATGAATGAGAACTTGTACCTTCAAGTTGTTTTGCCCATGCTGATATCTACTAGTCTTTTATTCATGTGCCTGTAGGGAAGAGACAACCTTTCCTGTTTCCATGATAGGTTGGCTTGTTACTTTCCTTAAGGAGGTAGACTTGGTGTTTTCCTAGCAGATGTCAGTTGGGTTTTTTGCAATACATAACAGGTAAAACCAAAAAGATTTATTGATGGTTTCAGTCTAGAAAGAAAAGATAAAGACTGAATGCCTCTTCTTTAAATTGGACCTTAAGGAAAAGATAGTTGACATCTTTTCCTTACACCTTCTCTGTAAGGTGTCACTCTGCTGAAAGGTGAATGTGTCAAGTGGGAGCACCGTGGTTGTCGTAGAGAACATAGCTAAGTGTGTTAGAGGCCAGACATTTCTAACAACGTTGAGAAATAATTACAATGCAAGTACTATATTTTCTTGCATACTACCTGCACCTTTCCCCTCTAAAATCAGCTGGTGAAAATTGGGGTGAGCATTATATGCAAGAAAAACTGATCCCCACAGGTTTGGAAATTTGGTGGCAGCGAAGTGGTGGTAGAGTTAATTAACTCTGCATTCCCTTGTTGCAGAATTTTTGGACCTAAGGGGAGCCCTCCAGCTGGATGAACAGATCAGTGTATTTGGTTTTTTAGGTGCAAGAATCTTCCCTCTACCAGACATCCTTGTTGGCAGATAGCACAAGGAGACACAGATGAGTAGGTAACCTCTTCTCCAAAAATGGAACAAGATGCATTTAAAATATTTGCCAGGTATTCACTGAAAAAATATTGGTTGTCTCCCTGAAGTATCACAGCACATTTTAATTGCAAACATTTGGTCATTTGAAGGTAGATGAAATACTCCAAATTATAATTTCATCTCTTTTGATGCTATTTATTACTGATTCCTGATTAGCAGGCTTATTACTTTTTTTTACAATTGGGTCCATTTCAACCAGATCTTTGTTGTATTGGGTAACAGCACATATTATCATATTTATTGAGCATAGTGAAAATCTTTTGTATGTTTTTCTGATTCATTTTTGTGTTGAAATGTTAAATGCACCTTGATCGCTCCTATGGAGGCAGGGAGACATTAATATAAAAATGAACTGCACATACTAGGAATCTCTTTGTGCAGCGATAATCCCACCTCTTCATTTACAGATAGAACAAACCCTAAATGCTGATATTGAAAAAAAATTATACAGGACATGTTTGCTCCTGCTACAGCTAAGATTGTGATTCTGAGACCCCTTTTTGGTGTTAAAAGCTTTTCTGTGTTTTGTGTAGCTTAAATTGTTCAGTCCTCTAGTGATGGCTGTAATTTGGTTCCAGAGTGAGACACTTGGGTATCTGGATTATATTGTTTCTATGTCTGAAGTTGGGGCACTATGCAAAGCTTTCATTCGCTTTCATTTGCTTATATGCAGGGATCCTGATTTTCTCCCATTAAAATGAAATGCCACTAATACAATACATACATTTTATTTATTTATATATATAGTGATGTTTCATTTTTATGATGGAAAGACATGGACTTTGGGTTACTTTTTTTAACCCAAAAATTGGGAATATTTTTTAATCATGGAAAAATGTAGATTTTGGATTATTCTTTTTAACCTGAAAATTGAGGATATTCTTTTATCAGGGAAAACTAGGATGTCTGCTTATGTCACTGTGATTTTTAAAAAGGAAGTGGAATACAGGAACCAACTGTGTTAAATGTGCTCTAGCATTTGAACTGAGATTTTGCTAATAGTTTAGTTCTGTCTAAATTTAACAAATTACAGTAAATTTAGATTTGAACTTGGATATTTGTCTTTGTGTCATGATATTTAAACCAACTAATTCGAGCAAGTGAAATGATGAAATAAACCATAAATAAAGCTAACTTTTTTTCGTGTTTTTGATTCCCTCACAAGTGCTGTAGTTTTCATGTTTTAATTTTTATGCAGTGTGACAACAAAAGGAGTTTTAATTGGTCAAGTATGGCAAGTATTTTAAATGCAATTTTAAATGCATCATGTTCTATTTTTGAGAAGAGGTTATCTACTCATCTGTGTCTCCTTGTGTTATCTGCTGACAAAAATCCAGTAGAGGGGAGAGATTCTTGCATCCAAAAAACCAAATACACTAATCTGTTTAGTGTGAGGTTCAGTGTTTTGGCATCCAGTTCACTCCAGGTCATCTCTTAGCCATTTAAACCCTCCCTTACTCCCATTGGTTTCTTATGCTAGGCCTTTAACTCAGGGGTGTCAAATGCATCTGGCTTTGTGGGCTGGGTGAAGATCTTTGGATCAGTCTGTGGATCAGATCGGGTCATGCTAGAGCCAGTGTGCAAGGGTGGTCTGTCAGGGCAACTGTACAGCATGTGCTGGCTGGGGCTTGCACTGTCAGCACCATGGGTGCTAGGTGTGATGCAGGGTTTGGGGTCTGTGCTGCATGCAGCTCCCTGCTGGATTAGCCTCTCACGCTGGCTTTGGGTGGGGCCCAGGTCACCTGTGTATGCCAGAACCAGCATGTGAAGCTTGCATACCTATTCCAGCACCCTGTGCTGTGGGCAGTGCCGACAGCATCAGGTTCAGCTTGTGCCACAGTGCAAGCCCTGGAGCAGGGCTGGTGTGTGCTGCATGTGACCCATGGGCTGGACCCAACAATATGGGTGCTGTATGTGGCATGGGGCCAGTCTGCTACTCCTTGATGAACTGAGGGCTGGGGAATTGTTTTAGCCACGTGTAGAGCCTTCTGAAATGCCAAGTAACTGCTATAGGGGTGAGAGAGTAAGAGATCCTTTTTCCTCCCACAGAAATTGTCCATTGAGTGACAAAGGTCCAACTGAAGCTGAAACGCTTCCTGTCCCTATATAGCTAAATACTTTGTAATGCTGCAGAAATGTTTACTGGAGAAATTATTTGGCTGCTAATGTAATCTCTTGGCGTAAATGAGATTACATACTTTGACCAGAGACATTTTTATTTATATTCACGTAGTCAAGTGTCTTCTACATTTGAGGTGGGGAACAAATCTTGCCTCAGACTTTTATTAGTAGAGGCCATAATGATTTTTATTTTTTCTTCTTTTGTGTATTGAGTAGAAAGTGTCTATTACGGAATAAAATGGGCATCCCACATTCTGAATTCCCTGTAATTTTTAGGGGTGGCGTAATTGGTGGACCTCAGTTTTTCCTTCAGTTTTGCTTATTTGTTTTCATTTGCTTTACTGTCTCATCTAGACGGTTTACCTAAGCTCATGTGTGTAAGACAGAAATGTTGAATCCTAATCGCAGTATTTTATGATCTAGGATGGATTGTGAGCTGAGAAAGGTGGCAGTTAAATTGCATGAAACTTTCCTAAAGGAATCTGGTATAAATACCATCTGTTGTGGAAGCATGCTGTCTAGTGTGGCCAGAATTATCTAATTTCTGGAATTCACTTTCTGTTTCATAATGTAAAATAGTTGTTTTTTTCCTGGAGGCAAAAAACAACAATACCTTTTAGATGAAATTTTGAAGTCTTAGTGTAAAGGACTTGGCAAAGTAAGGCTGGATATGAGGGGGCTTATTTTACCCTTGAAAGTACATAAGAGCATGTGGTTATTTCACACTATATTTTACTGCACTCTAACTTCTCTTTAGAAAAGCCCAAAGTTACCATGGTAGAGCAACTGGTACCCCTCACCTGTTCTTGAGCCTAATAAAAATGATGCCTTTTGAACATCTGTGAGGAAGGATGCTAAAAGTATAACGGGAGGGAGTTTGCTTTGTAGACTTTGAGTAAACAAGGGATTTACTCTTTCATTACTTCTACTTTGCAGTTTGGGATATTGTGATTAAGAATGTAGAAACAAATTCTAACATATATTCTAAGGAATATATAGTGTGATGGGGTGCTACTTGGCCAAGTTGGTTGATTGTAACTCCTGATATGATGATCATTGAGGTAGGCCTTTGACATTTGATTCACAGCACGAGTTATTACTTAGTGAAATTGATCCCTTAGGACTCCTGTTGAAGGTTGTTTTAGGGCAGTCTCTAGTTATTAACAAATTTAAAGAAGAGTGATTCTTATGAACAAAGGTATGTTCTTCCTTTCTCTTTCTGGGAACAAGCAACCTAAGAACTGAAACAAGTTTTCATTACAAAGGTTACTAGTACCTTTTTTTACTAGCAGCGATATA